CAAAACTAGATTATAATACTAATAGGAACTATGATTAGAACTGTTGAGATTCAACATGTACCTATTCTATACGCAGAAAGTTAGTTCTAACAGTTAACTGTTATAAACATAAATGCAAAGTAGAATTTCCAATGACTCATAACATTCTATTAAAAATGAGTCAATGTACATACATACATTAAAAACCAGGCTTAAGGATACAATATCAGCTAGGGTGCACATCTTGCACAAAGCTGACCTGGGTCTTATCCCAGGCACCACAGATAGTATCCCAAGCACCACCAGAAATGATCTCTGAGAACAGAGCCAGGAGTAAGCCCGGAGCACTGCTGGGTATGGCCCAAAAACCAAATAAAACCGGGCAGGAGAGATAGTACGGAGGTAAGATGCCTGACTTGCAAGTGAGTAATCCAGGTTCAATTCTGGCACCATATATGGTTCCCTGAGCACTGCCAGGAGTGGTTCCTAAACACACAGCCAGGAGTAAGCCCTGAGTACAAATGTGGTCCCAAAAATACCAAAAAATAAATAAAACCCACATGTTATGAAAGGTTCTTCTATATTCATGAAATTGATCTGATAAGATTCCCACCACAGGCACTGGCATTATAGCGTTTCAAGTTTCACTGAGAAAGCAAAGAACGGGATAGAGAGCAAGAAATGGTACCAAAACATCTTTTCCAATTTTACTTTCACTTTCTTCCTCCACTGGTTTTGCTTGACATCTTTCTACTTCATAGTAAGAAAAAGAATGAAAAGAACTGGGAAGATAGTACAGCAGACAGGTCACTTGTTTCATGGAACCCAGGTTTGCTCCCCAACACTCATGTGATCCTAAGTCCCACCAGGAATGATCCGTAAGATGCCTGTGACAGGAGTAAGCCCTGAGTGCAGCTGGGTCGGACCATCACCCATTTCTTCCCCCAAAAAAATTGGACAAAGATACAGAAGACAGATTTATCCAAAGAAGATACATTAATGGGCAATATATAAATGAATGAAAGACATTAATCATCATTATTTATTAGAAAAATGCAGACCAAAATCAGAATGATGGGATGGAAAGGTTAACTCAATGGGCTAAGGGTAAGTTTTGCATTGTGGGAAGCAGTTCAGGTTCCATCTCCAGCACCCTATGATCCTCTGAGCAAAACTGGGAGCATCCCTGGAGGCACAGAGAAGGGAGCTAGCTCTGAGCAACACCAGGTGTAGCCCTCCAAAAATAAAAACAAAATAATCATAATGGTTATCATTTCATATCCAGTAAGATGGATATTTAAAAAAAAAAGAGTAACAGACAAATTTTGGCTAGAATATGGAGAAATTGTACACCTATAAATTTCAAGTGGGAACAGGAAGATGATACAACTACTTTAGAATAAATCCTTCAGTAGTTCCTCAAAATTACAATAATGCATAACCCAGCAAGGCTACCTAGCCATTTCACTACCAGATAAACTCAAGAAAAATGAAACTACATAGATACAAAACATTTATACAGAGATATTCATAGCATCATTATTAAACCATCCAAAACTTTACCAACTGATGAATATATAAAAAACTATGGCATAGTTATAAAATGGACTGTAATTCAGCTATAAGATGGAATAAAAGGGCCAGAATAACAGTATATGGCAGGTAGGGAGTTTGCATTGCATGTGGCCAATTCTGGTTCAATCCCCATTACCCCATATGGTCCCTGGGTCCCACCAGGAGTGATCCACGAGTGCAGTGCAAAGAATAAACCAGAGCACTGCCAGGTGTGACTCAAAAATAAAAAAAAGCAAAAAAAAAAGAATAAAGAACAGGTACATGATATGTTATAGATAACCTGAAAACACAGTGAAAGACCAAATATTGCATGATTTAACTTATAAGAATTATTCAGAACATGGAGCCAGAGAGATGGTAGATACTTTTCTTGCATGCAACAGTCAACCCAAGATCAATCCTTTGGTACATACAATACCAAGGTCCGGCCAGACGTGATCCCTGAGCATAAAGTCAAAAGTAAGCCCTGAGGACCATTGGGCATGGCCCAAAAGTAACAAGGAAGGAAAGATTAACTCGGAATAGAAAATGTAAAGTTGGAGTGATAGCACAGCAGGTAAGGAGTTTGCCTTGCATGCAGCCAACCCAGGTTTGATTCCCAGCATCCCATATGGTCCCTCAAGCACTGCCAGGAGTAATTCCTTAGTAGAGCCTGTGCATCGCCTGGTATGACCCCGGAAAAAAAAAAGAATAGAAAATGCTAGAAATGTTTAAAAAGATTAATGATTGCTAAGGGCTAGAGAAAATGGGGAATAGAGTCTTCTGGAGTAGCATAGAGAAAAGAACTGTTACAAGATATAAGGTTTCTTTCAAAGCTACTGGAATTAGTGAGAATAGCTGCACAAATATGTAAATATACCAAAAACTGCTAAATTATACATTGTAACAAGTAAATTTTATAATACAATTATATTTTGTTAAAGGAAAAAAATGGCAGAGAAATAAAAATCAATGTAACTAAAGAACAAAGAAATAATTCTTTTCTGACCCAGTGTAAACTACATTTACATTTACATCTCTTGCTAGATAGTAGAAACCTAAAGATGAGTATAGCACTGTAGCACTGTCCTCCCATTGTTCATCAATTTGCTTGAACGGGCTCAGTAACGCCTCCATTGTGAGACTTGTTACTGTGTTTGGCATATCAAATATATCACAGGTAGTTTGCCAGGTTTTGCCATTCGGCGAGATACTCTCGTTAGCTTGCCGAGCTCTCCAAGAGGGGCAAAGAAATCGAACCTGGGCCAACCAGGTCGGCCACATCCAAGGCAAATGCCTTACCCACTGTGCTATTGCTCCAGCCCAAGATGAGTATAAAGTAACTGAATTCTGGGGCTGGAGCAATAGCACAGCGGGTAGGTCATTTGCCTTGCATGTGGCAAACCCGAGATCGATTCCCAGCATCCTATTCCCAGCATCCTGAGCACTGCCAGGGGTAATTCCTGAGTGTAGAGTCAGGAGTAACCCCTGTGCATTGCTAGGTGTGACCCAAAAAGGCGGAAAAAAAAAAAGTAACTGAATTCTCTTCAAACTCATTCTTGCCTATGAATGTCATATTTCTCAAGAGTAGGCAGTCTTAGGGCCAGGGCAATAGCACATCAGGTTAAGATGCTTGTCTTGCATGGCAAACACAGGGTTTGCTTCCATGAGCCCCACCACAAGTGATTCCAGAGTGCAGTCAAGAGTAAGCCCTGAGCACCACCAGGTATGACCCAAAAAACAAAAACAAAAATTAGCCGTAGTCTTAAAAATGCAAAAATAGTAAGTGGAAGTCATTGACTGTACACAGTATACACTGTCCTCCCGTTGTTCATCGATTTACTTGAGTGGGCCCAGTAATGTCTCCATTTTGAGACTTGTTGTTACTCTGTTTGGCATACTGAATACGTCACGGGTAGCTTGCCAGGCTTTGCCGTGCGGGCGAGATACTCTCGGTAGCTTGCCAGGCTCTCCGAGAGGGGAGGAGGAATCGAACCCGGCTCAGCCAGGCTGGCTGCGTGCAAGGCAAATGCCCTACCGAAGTCATTGACAAAATTCTAAATTGGGGGAAGGTGGGTAATTATTCAGGGGTCACACAGCACATGCCAAGGCTTACTCCTGGCTATGCTCAGGAATAACTCCTGGCAATACCCGCCCAGAAACAAACCAGGGTCAGCCACACAAGGAAAATACCTTAACCTCTGTATTATGTCTTCTATCCCATTATTCTAAAATTTTGAAGATCTCATTATATATGGGGAGAGGAAAGAAATGCCCCTCCTAATATTTGTATAAAACTATCCTCTATTCCCCAATACTTGTTCTGAGACATCCAAGATTATTTATAGAGTTTATTTGTTTGAGATAATTTTTACAAATTTTAGTAACTCTTCCTTGATAGCATATTTTATGTGTGCATTTCCTCAATGACTTCGGATTCTCTATATCTGAACCAAAACCTCCCAAAAAACGTAAATAACCTAAAAGAAAAAGCTTTTTAACATTATTCACACGATTTTGTCAAAATAAAAAAAAGTATTCTTTAAATTATGGTATCACATGGGCTGGAGCGATAGCAGTGGGTACGGTGTTTGCCTTGCATGTGGCCAACCGAGGTCCCATGAGGAGTGGCCAACCCAGGCCCCATGAGGAGTGATCCCTGAGTATAGAGTAAGGAGTAAGCCCTGAGCACCCCCCAGTTTGGCAAAAAAAAAAAAAGAAAATTAAATATTATGTTGACTATTATTGTAAACATTACAAAAAGTCATGATCTACTTATCCAAAATACCAAATCCAAAATTCCTCCATCCCTCTTGGAGAGCCCAGCAAGCTACCGAGAGTGTCCCGCCCACAGTATCCTGCAGAGCCTGGCGAGTTCCCTGTGGTGTATTCGATATACCAAAAACAGTAACAACAAGTATCACAATGGAGATGTTACCAGTGCCCACTCAATGAACAACGGAACAACAGTGCTATAACAGTGACAGTGCTATGGTATCACATGTTCTGGGTTCTAATCCCACATTTTTATGAGTAAGAGAAAAATCTGATTACTCAAGATAAAAGTTGGATTTGTATAAATAAGTAGCGAATAAAAGTTAAAGTACAGACAAATAGAAAACAAATTCTGGGGCCAGAGAAACAGTTAACAGGGTGTTTGCAGGTACATAGAGAACCCAGCTTGACCCAGTTTGATCCGTGGCACCCTATATGGTGGGGACCAATCCTGCTGCGCCCCATGAGGAGTGATCCCTGAGCACAGAGTCAGGAGTAAGCCCTGAGCACCCCCCAGTTTGGCAAAAAAAAAAAAAAAAAAAAATTACATATTATGTTGACTATTATTGTAAACATTACGAAAAGTCATGATCTACTTATCCAAAATACCAGACATTTCTGATACTTTTATAATTTATACCGAAAGGCAAAGCGAAAATATATCATAATCAATATTATCAATATAATATTACCTTATCTTTGGCCTCAGGCAGTGTGAGTTCTCTAGGTTCTAAAAATGGTGTTTCTCGAAAAGGTGGAATACATCTGACTATATCTGGTACATAGTGTGTATGAAACAATGGCGGCATTGAATATCTTCTGTCACCTGATAAAGGCACTATGTGGTTAACTATAGTTGGCTCTTGGTGGGGTGAATGGAAACGTTGCCGTTTACCATCAAGAGGAAGGTTTTTTTCATCGCTTAATCTCCTGAAAACAAATAATATACCTTAGCAATTAAACACAAAGACAAATGCTGATGAAAATTAGAAAACATAATCCATATAAAGTATAAAAATCAAGACAATATAAAGCAAGCTCATTATTATTAGTTCTATTAGAATCTTATAATATTCACTTTCACACAACAGATACCCTGATACCCTGGTCACTCTGAGCACCACTGGGTGTGGCCCAAAAATGAAAAATAAATCAAAACAAAAATTTCTTGGGCATAAAAGGAGTTGTGAATGGAAAAAGTTTTAAGAAGTCCTGCACCTTAGGTGGGCCCTAAGTCACTTTCTGGAGTAAGTAAAATGATGTCAATGGCATTCTTTCATATAGCTCTGACTATGAGGAAAGGGAGAAAAAGAGAAAATAGAGCTATGGTGCTCAGGGATCATTCCTGGCAGTACCAAGGGATCAAATGTCCAGTGTTGCTGAGGGTGACCAGGGCAACTGTATGTACACAAGGGCCACCAGGATAGTATCTAGCAGTGCTAGGGACCATGCAATGCCAGAGCTCCAATCAGAGTCCCTATGCATGCATTGCATACACCCCTGACCAGTGAATTAATTCTACTGCCCCAGTTAAATCATTACTTTCATTAAAGCCCCCAAAACAGTGCTTACTACAATAGTAGATTGTCAATAATTCTCAGCTATTATCATGAAAAATTAGACATAAAAACTATGGAATGTTTATATAAGCTTTGAACAACAATATCTTGCAAGTATTGCCAAATCTTTTACCAATCACCTCAAAGGATTCTATTGCTGCAACTTTGTGATATACGTTTCTCCTCATTGAACTGCTTAAAATTAAATGATTTCTGACTTCTCTACAGAAAGCTTTATTATGTACAAATTTCTATTATTTATAGTAGAACTTTTGCTCTATAAGATTTAGATAGATCAAATAATAGACTACTAAAAAGGAGGTGCTATAGGCTAAATCGTATACCTCCAACATTTAAGTTTAGGGTCAGAGAGATAGCTCAAGTGGTTGATAGTATGTTTTGCATTCTGAAAGTCCAGGGTCAACCCTGGAAGCACACAGTTTCGTGTAAACCACAAATGACTTCCAAATACCACTAGATGTACGCTCCTCTGCAAAAATATTCATGTTTAAACTCTAATCTTCAGCACCTCAAAACATAGAGCTCTATTTGGAATATATTTCACTTATTTAACAAAATTGAAAAGAGGTCATCTGGGTGGGCCCTAAGTCAATATACTCAGATCAAGAGATTCACATTCAGAGAGCAGGAAAGACAACTATGTAAGAATACAAGAAAGCAGCCATTTACAAAAGAAAGAGGAAGACCACAGGAGAAAATGAAAATGCCAACAATTAGGAGTATTTCTACTTTAGAATATGAATTTTTTTTTATAGGAACTACCACAGCTTGGTTCAGGGTGGACTGGAGGTGCTCAGACGCCACCAAGACCATATCAAGTGACAATGCTCAGAGGACCATGTGTCAGAATGAGAGATCCAACTCAGAGCATGTGCTTTACCAACTGGGTTACCAACCTGGTCCCTAAATTTCTATTTTTTAAGTGACCCAGTTTGCTGTATTTTGTTACTGCCCCCTAACAAATTAAAAGTTATCTCCTTAGGTAAGAATCAAAATTAGTGATTTTCTGAAGAAAAATTCATTCCATCTTAAATTTTTAATATAAGGAATAATTTAAGAAAGAGGACCAGAGAGATAACAGCGGGTTAAGGCACTTCGCTTGGATAAGGCAAACTCCAGCACAATCCCCAGCACTACATATAGTCCCTGAGCACCATCAGAAGGGTTCCCTGCACAAACAGCCTGGAATAAGCCTTAAGCACTTCCAGATGAGGCCCCAATATAAAACAAACAAAAATAACAAGAGAATCCCTAAAATTCTTTATGCTCCCTCCTTTAAACAATTTTTAAATATGGAGAAGTACTAAAATTCTCTGGCAGGGGAGATCACATAGGTTCCCAAAAACAAAATTTAGGGCATAGTAGTCCTAATTTTAATACAAAAAAACACTCTTATACACTTGTCAGAAAATACATTTCTTTTAAAATAGAAGTACTTACTTCCTTCCTCGAAATAATGGAGAAGCTGAGGTCTGTATTGGACTGACATTTCCATATGTCAACTGCTGTAATGACACAGCTCTAGACAAACTACCAAAAACAAAGAAAGAACAATAGTAATATACCTTTTTCCTCAAAAACAAACAGCTAAAATATACAATTTAAAAAAGACATAGTTTCACTTATAGATGGCATATAAAAAAGGAATGAAAGATGTCAAAGATGTCAAACCTCCGGCCCTGGACTACAGAAATGAGAATGCCAAAGGCCAAGGAAAAAGAGGAGTAGGAGGAAAGAATAAGGAGGCTGATTGGTGATAACAAAAGGGCATTGCTCCAGGATATAGATCATTTCAGTGATGTGGAGCTGAGATAACTAACTATGTACATCACAACCATGAGAGTCCATATTAATTTAACTATGCAACACAAACTAGAATAATGAAAAGGGGAAAAAAAGGTTTTTTTAATGAGTTCGCTAATGAGGCCAAGCTGGGGAAAGGAAAAGAACCCTGAGTCACTAGTAGAGATCAATTGGTGGGATTCAAATGTTCCTTACAAAAGGACATATTAAAATCTAATTCCAATTGGTGGAGTTAAATGTTTCATACAAAAAAAGGTTTCTATCAAGAAGAAAAAGAAGTTTATACATGATAAACCAAAATATCACCATACTTACTCTGCATTCTGAAAATTGAATTGTGCATCTAAAAGTTGCTGGTGTGAATAAAGAGTTGGTGACAGGGCAAAAAAGTTATGTTGTTGATGGGTTGGAGTGAAAGGCGGGCGACCCAAAATTGAGTTTGGGAACATGCTCTTGTTCACTATAAGTGAACATGTATTCTTCTACCTAGAGGAGTTTTAAAAGACAAATACAAAATAAATATAACTATAAATATAGCTTAATGATATTAAACTCTATTGCTACTTGAAACAGTTACTAAACTATGTAATTCATTTGCAAAGTACTTTCTTTGGGGAGAGGTAGGCCACACACCTGACGGTGCTAGGGGCTTAATCTTGACTCTGACTCAGGGATCACTCCTGGCAGTGTCCAGGCGACCATGAAGTGCCAGGGATCGAATAGCGATTAGCCATATGCAAGGCAAGGGCTTAACCCCTGTATTATCTTTCCAGCCCAACAAAGTTACTTCTTGATTATCAACAGAGCTCTTAAGTCACACTGAAAGAAACAAAAATCTTTAATAAACCAAATTTTTGCCACAGGGGTAATAAAAAAAAACCTGAGAGAAAAAATAATAAAATCCTACAAAATCTATATTTACTTTCAACATAATTTATAAAGATAATGAATAATTTTATTTGACATAGTATATGACAACATTATTCCTAGGATTTATATCTAAAAAATCTTATCAGATAAGGGAAGAAATTTCCATCACCCAAATAATAATTACAAACGTCTGACACTCCTCAAAGTCTAAACATATACAAAGGCCTTCCAAAAAAGTCATATTCCCCAAGAATGGAAAAAACCTATATACAAAGCAAATATAGTCATTACCCAATACAGTAGGAGACTAGATATTTACTCTTTACTACAAATGATCCCAGAGGGACATAAAATTACAAACAGGATAAGCTAACAAATGGAAAATAAATATTAACTAGAGTTTGCAAAGTCAATCTCCAGGAGCTCATCTTCTAAACTCAGACATTAAGTAAACTGATCTATAAAATAACTGGAAAATCAGCTACAGCTAGAAAACTTAAAATGAAGTTAACCAAGGAAAAATTAAGGCAAACAGCAACTTACAATGAAGCTTGCTACGGAACTGCCCACCCATGCACAGAAAGGTTCCAATTAGTATTCTAGTACCTCACTTAAAAATAGATATCTATAGATTGAGAAAAGGAATAAAAGAATCAATGCCAACAACAAATTCAAACTCAAAAAAAAATTCTCTGTAACAAAATGAAAAAACTGCATAATAAAACAAGAATATAGTGTTTAAAAGGCAGGAAGGACTCTTAAGAAATTATGAAAAAGCAAGCAGAGTATCTGGAGATATGGCTTAGTAGGTAAAGTGCCTGCCTTACAGGCGTGCAGTTCTAAATTTGATTTCTGGCATTACACCACATGCCCAGTTCAATCCCTGCAGCACCACTGTGATCCCTGGTGCCATGCATGATACCAGTACGCCACATCGAAGTGTGAGACCCCTTGGTGAACACAGGAACCAAGTGTGCAAGTCCAAGACACTGCAACAACGAAAGTGGAAGGGAAGATAGAAGAAAATTGCAGAATATACTCTCTCTCTCTCTCTCTCTCTCTCTCTCTATATATATATATATATATACACTCATAGCTTCTTTAAAAACAGAGCTGTCCCTGAGCACCAGCAGGGTGGCCTGATTAATTCCAAGCACCAAAGGACCCAAGTAGCACAACCTCATGATCCCATAAGCATTGCCTGGTACAGTCTTGTAGGACCCAAGCACAAAAGCAGCATCACACCCTCTCATCCTTTCACTGAATCACTGACTTAGTTGGCTAGACTCAGCAAAGAGGACCCAAGATCTATTGAGCACTACTTGGGAGACCTCCTTTCCACCCCCCCAAAAAAGAGACATATCAAGGAATATTAAGTTGAAAATACAGACTATCAGAAAAAAGCAGCACTCATAAATTAGAGGAAGTAAATGTTATACACAAAGGGTTACAAATCAAAATGACTTTCTGGGCTGGAGAGAGAATACAGCAGGTAGGGCACTTGCCTTGTATATGGCCAATCTGGGTTCAATTCCTGGCAACCCATATGGTCTACTGGGCACTGCCAGGAATAATTCTTGAGTGCAGAGCCAGAAGTAACCCCTGATCATTGCTAGGTGTGGCCCTCTGACTCCCAAAAAAACACTTCTGACTTAACAGCACCCATGGAAACCACAGAAAATGAACAATTCAAAGCAATAAAATACACTCAAGCTATAATTCCCCTTTGTTTTCTCTCCTTTCTCCTTTATTTTGGTATTTTGTTTTTGGGCTATACTTGGCAGTGATCAGAGCTTACTCCTGTTTGTGTTCGGGATACTCCTGGCAATGTTTTGGGGAACAATAATACAGTGCCAGAGATCCAACCCAGGTCAGTCATGGGCAAGGCAAACAGCATATATGCTGTACTGTCTTTCAGACTTCAAACTAGAATTCTATACCCAGCTGTAATATCAAATTTTAAACCTTTAATGAAAGGTTTTAGTAGAAGAAAAAATAATCTGGTCTAAGAAAAGAGAGACGGACACTAAGAAGTTTCTATGTTTTCCTGCTAACAGAGAAGATACAAATATAAACACAGAATAGCAGTACTGACACAGAATGGCATTACTGTTAAAACTAAATCACTACCTTAAAAAAAACACTCAAAAATTATACAATTATATACTGTTACATGCTGTCTTACATATCTTATGACTGCTATATTTACATATTTTTATGTAGTATTTATGAAGTCACATAAAAGTATTAATTCATCAGTAAATGTCAATCCAAAATAAGATTTTGTTTTGTTTCTTAGAACAACAGAGGAAAGTAATACTAAAGAAGCTTAAGAACATGGTAGCTTTGGGGGGGGCAGAGAGACAATACAGGGAGTTGGTTATCTCCTTGCACACAGCTGACTGGAGTTCTATCCCAAGCATCCCATATTCCCTGAGCACTGCCAGGAGAAATCCCTGCATACCACTGGGCATGGCACAAAAAAATGATAGTTGTCTCTGGGAACTGAGATCAGAAGCCTAAAAAGAAGAAGCAGCAGGAGATAACAGGACAGAAAGAAAGGTCTGGGAAGAGACAAATCATACAAACTTTATCCCCCATGTTTTCAATTCTGTAAGATTATCCCTAGGCTGGCTAGATTGTGAGATTCATCAGCCCAGAATTCATAATAAATTGTGGACAAGAGTATTACAGTACCATCAAACTCATACCAAATGCCAAAGTATAATTTAGACCAGACACAAAGTGTTATTTCCAGAGATGTTTGAGACTGGCATTACAGGAAAATCTTTTAAAATTAATCAATCTCATCACATCTGCTAAACTGTATTCCCTAGTGTTTGTCAGAGGAAAAAGAAAAACATCTTCAACAAAACAGTATGCAAAAGAATCTCTTATTAACAGTTCACTCAGTAATCCTACAATGCCATGCTTAAGACTGGCAACCAGTCCACATTTGTTCTATCCTTTGTCCAGGTTCACACTCTTCCTTGGTCTTTTTACTGTACTTCCCTAATCCAAGCCCTCATAAAACATGATTTCTATTTCACAGGATTTTTTTTTATAAAATGACTTTAAAGACATGATTCATAATAATGAATTTTGCTTGATAGCTTGATTGGAATACAGACATCAGGATCTGATTAAGGAACTGGTATTCAGAATAAATTAAATGAGTTTTCAATTTTCAAACTTATTTAAACCAGATCATCATTAAAATTATAGACACCTATTATACCTATGTTTGTGCTTTTCTGGACCCAAGTAAGGTCCTTAACACTGACTGCATTTCAGACTTAAAATGCAACAAGAAACAAGAGTCCAGACTTCACGATATTTCAACCCCCTTCCATGATCAGATCCATGTCTAATGGCCCTGAAATACACTACAAAGTTAATGAACAAATTACCTAAGGCTTAAAATCTTAGACTAATTTCAGTAGTCAAATTTTTCTTCAGGGCAGACTCTAGTTCAGCCAAGCCCATATTCCCAGATAAAGTACTAAAACTTTGGAATACCTCCAAAACAAAGTATCTGTCATATTCTTCTGGATATGAATTGTGACCTTCAAATCTGGGTATTAACTAGGCAAGCCTTCAAACAGGATAATTCTTAGAAAACATTATCAACACTCCAAAACATGTATCTTGGCGTGACAAAGTAGAGAAAAAGGCAAATCAGAAACCCATGAAATTCAATTCTTTTTTTGTTTTTCTAAGACATTTCAACCGTGCTGTTGATAAAGATAAAAAACAGCATTGATTCATCATAAATATGGGGGATCAGTTTTCAAACAGATTAAGGACTAAAACCATGCAAAAACCATACCAGAACTTAAGAACCTCACAAAATGTTTAACCTTCTTATGTTCTAAAAGACTTTGTCACTAAACAGAAAATAAACCATGTAAACTCCACATTAACTGTGGCAGCAGATGAGAAAATGCCTAAGTAAAATCCAGGACCAGGAAGAGTACAGCAAGTAACTTGCTTGCCTTGCATGCCGCCAACTCAGGTTCAATTTCTGGCACCATTAATGGTCCTCGCTCCTCAGCACCACCAGAAATGATCCCTGAGCTCTAGACGGGCTCTTCTTTTAGGCTTGAAAAATACCAAATTATCAGTCTGCATTTGCCTACACATTACAATAATCTAGTTAACACTGAATGTTTTTTAAACTGCTGAGATGATTCCTGCCTTACATATGCTAAGAATTGCTTCTTGACTATGGTTGGCCCAATGGGAAACTAAAGATTTATTTGTAAATAATCGACACAGAGCACTACTCTCATAAAGGAGCTTAAAAACTAATTCTTTTGGGACAGAGAGATAATGGAGGGAGTCAAAGTGCTTGCTTTGCAAGCGGCTGACCTGGTTCGATCCCTGGTACCCCATATTATAGTCCCCCCCCCCAGCACTACAGGAAAAAAATAATTCCCATGAAGAATATGTTATTTAGAACATAAAATCTCCACCCTAAGTTTGACCGATCCCAGAAAGCCAGGCGCTCTAAGTTACCAATCCCTCTACATGATTCCAACAAAGTAAAACCCATCCCCAAATGAAAACCTGAACCGAATGAGGCGATATTCATAAACAGCTTCTGTGCCCAACTGCCTCTAAGGCCCTCAAATCACTTCCCGTCCCTACACAGCAAAGAGCCCTACTTCCTTCACCCTGCTGGAGCTCCATCAGTCTCCGGCCACGTTTCGAGGAGCTCGAACCTTCCGACCAGAAATGAGATTCCACCCCGGGAGAGCCAGGATCGAACCCCTAAAAGCCAACAGCCAGCCAGGTTTCCAGGGTGAGCTAAACGCGCACAACTGATCAGTGCATGTTTCAAGTGGGTAACAGAGAGCTTCAGGGACAGTACAGCGGGTGGGGCGCTTGCCTTGCACACAGCACCGCCGACCCCGGTTCGATCCCCCGCACCACATATTGGTCCCTGGAGCCCCGCCAGGAATGATGATCCCTGAGCCCAGAGCCAGTAGTAAGCTAAGAATATCCGAGAGTGTTGACGCTCCCGCCCCCACCCCCAAACCAAACCAAACCAAACTAAAATAAAAATAGAAGCGGGTAACTGGCCATACAGTCTAGCCAAATTGGTCCCCCGGTCTCTGCAGACTCAGTTCAGGGCTCGCTCCCGCAGAACCCTCACTCTCGAGTCCGTTCCCCCCACCCCAGCTCCGCTTGAGCTCTGCAGGGGCTCGCTGGCTTTTTCCTTCCGATCCAACGAAAGCAAATGGCTATTTTAAACAAAGAGCCGAGGGAGGGGAAATCCAGCCGGACGGGCGGCTGAAAATCACCCGGGAGCCGAAACGCTCAGGTTCTGCGCTCGGAAAGAAGCGCTGAGGGTCTACAAAGCAGAGCGATGCAACGTCCGAACTGAGTCGGAACTTGTAAAACTCCCGATTCATTCTTTTCTCTCTCTTTTCTTTCTTTCTTTCTTTTTCTTTCTTTCTTTCTTTCCCTTCTTTCTATCCTTCCTTCTTTCTTTTTTAAACTCACATTTTCACGGAGCCACAGTTCGACTTGAGTACTTCACCCCCCTTTGCAACACCCCTGCACGTATCCCAAAACAATGCTCCTCTTGGGACCCTGTAGATCAAAGAAGCGGTCTCGAGGAAGACAAACGAGACCCGGTAAAAGAAAGCTGCCCGACGATTTACCACCCGCCCCCTCCCCAAAATCACCTTTAGTCTGGTAGGGGCAGGGGCAGCCCGAGAGTGCAGGAGATGGAAGAAAAGGTACGGGAACTCCCCGCCTCCCCCCTTCCCCCCCACCCCGTCCAACCCCCGCCCGAAAAAGGAAACAACAGTTTCGGGAAAAGTTCCCCGCGCCCCGCCCCCGGCCCGGGCCTGCACGGCTGCGCCCCTCTCCTGCAGCCCCTAACTCACAGGTGTCCTCGGGGAAGGGCTCAGCAGGGCCTATCGGCACTGCCCGCCCAGCAGCTCCCGGGCCGGAGCAGCGAAGGCCCCGCGCGCTCGGCTGCAGCTCCCACCCGAGCCGCAGGAGGTAGCAGCCCGCGGAAGGGCTAGGCCCGGATCCGGATCCAGATTGCGATCTAAGCCCTGGGCTCGGCGGCCGGGGAGGAGCGACACAAGAAGAGGCAGGGCCTGCAGGGGTGTGGGAGGTTGGGGGGCGGTGGCAAAAGGCGGAAGACCAAAAAGTCGCCCCCAAAGCGCCGTAGAAAATCCTGTCAGAGACACCCGGAAGACCAATGTGACCCCGGATGGGAATAGCCCGAGTGGAACGCAAGGGTTGCACTTCCGGCTGCCGCCACCGCCGCGGCCGCCGCCGCCGCCCGCACGTTTAGCGCGAATGCGCAGGCGCGAAAGTGGTAGCGGCGCCTGGGTTAGGACGACGGTGGAACTTTATAACGGGTGGGCGCGGGTCTGGGAAATGCTCGATACCCGGCCCCCAGCCGCGGACCAGTGGCGGAGGACTGTTTCGGACCTGCTGCTCGAGTTTTCGTGCAGCAGCTCTTGTTCTGATAAACGTTCTTCTTTTGTACCTCTGCCCGGCGACTCCCCGGAGGAGTTTCGGACCCAGTCCCACCCCCCAATCCCTTCTCTACGGATTAGTTTGAACTTGACCTGCGGAGGCGCTGGGATGAGCAAATCTTGGAGACGCTACGCCCAGCCCATAGCACTTAATATTCTCAGATATATTAAGGGAACTCTACTGGTCTTTTTTTAAAAAAAAAAATATATATATATATAACGTTTAATTTCTTGGAGGTAGATCTGTTAAAATAAATAATAAAATATGCTTTATAAACTTGAATGTAATTTTCTTTTAATTTAGCCATGCCACTGGCCAGAATATGATGTTTGGGTAAATGTTTTAGTGTTAACATAAAAGGCATGTATATTCTGCAGTGGTTCTAGAGAGAAGTCTATGAATGCTGATCTCATCAAGTTGTTTATTAATGTTCAAATCTTCTAAATCCCAGGTGGGTTAGAACAGCGATATTTTGTCTACTCGTGCTGTTAATTATTAAGAGAGATGTTGAGTTCTTGCAATGCTAGGTTTTCTAGTTTTTTTCTATTGTCACTGTTTGCTTCGTATACTTTAAAGCTAATTATGTTTATAATTGTTCTGTTATTTAAACGAGTTTACTTTATAAAATTGATTGTGAAAATTGTTTTATCCTGAAATTAGCCGCTTTCTAATAACTTTTTATTTATTTATCTTGGTAGTAGTTTTTCCTCTGTGGGACCAGGGACATAGCTCAAGAACTGAGCATAAGCTTTACATGCAGGAATGCTGGTTTTCTTTGGCATCACGTGGTCCTCTGAGCACCTAGGTGAGTCACTCCCAGTACAGAGAAGGGAATTACTCCAGAGCTGTGTAATGTACCCCAAAAACAAATAAAATGAGATCTATTCTTCCACTGGTGTAAACCTGAAACATTGTTATGATTCAACAGTACTACAGTAAGAATTAATTCATATACTGCCATCTAGATTTATTTTGTATAGTATTTCTATGGTATTTTTTAAAGGTAAAAATAGTAGATTCAATTCTACATAAAATTTTAAAAATTGACTAAAGGGAAATATTTCATTGCTCAGTCAGGACAATATTACTCTGATGTGCAAATAAGAGATGTTTTAAGGAAAGAAGACAACAGGACCAAAGAATGTAGAAGGGAAGGTGTTTGCCTTGCTTGTGGCTAACCCCCGTTCTATCCTAAGTACCACATACGGTGTCCCCAGCTCTGCCAGAAGTGACCTCAGAACACAGAGCTAGGGAATCCAATAAATAATCATTTTTTTAAAAATATATATCAAAAATGGTCACAGCAACTGTGCTCAAAGCAAAACTATGAAAACAACCCAGATTTTCTTCAATATAAACAGTATTGCAATTCATCATATAATCATGAAATGGCATTACACAACTAAATAGAAATTACCAATATAAATGCAACATGAATAAGTGTTAATAATGAAGTAAATCCTAAAAATACATATGATCCCACTCATATGTAATATACAATATAGTATTTTATTCTAGAAAATGCAAACCAATCTCTAATAAGGAAAAGCAAGTCAGTGGTAGCCTAGAAGATGGGGGAGTGAGATTAGACTACTGAAAATGGCAAAAGGAAGAGATTACTGAGGAGGAAAAGGAAACGGGGAGGGGCTAGAATAAGTAATACACTTTCTTTGCACTTGTCTGACCTAGGTTCAGTCCCCAGCATCCTATATGGTCCCCTGAGCCCCAACAAGAGAAATCCCTAAGTAGAGCCAGGAGTAAAGCCCTAGTACCTCTGGATGTGTTCCACCCACGGAAGGGTAAAAATGGAAACTTGGAACTGATACTTATATTCAGGATCTTGATTGTTGCTGGTTTCATGTGAATTATTTGTCAAAAGAGGTTCAGCTTACATGTCAAATTATACCTCAGAAAATGGGATTTTTATTTCTGAAAAGAAAAATAATCTCTTTATCCATGTCACACTTTAAGTGAATCTTTTAATAAACTATCCGTGATTGTTTTAACATTGGAACTAATGGTACACTGAGTTAGGCAGATCATTCAAATGTATTACACCCTACACTGGCTCAAAGCTCATATTATTTAATATCAGTTTCTGTCTCATCACAAGAATACTTGGAAGCTTTTCAAAAACAAAGTAAAGATGCAGTTTTTGCAAACCTTTTATTCTTCCTTTAAAAGAAAAAAAATTGTGGTGGCCATCTGGTAGTGCTAGGGAGGGGAGCAGGTATCAGCTGCCAGGAATTCAACCTCATGCATAATATAGGTATGCTCTACCATTGAGCTATCTCCTGGACTCCAAAAATTTAATTTATCCCCCCCCCCCGTTTTTGTTGAGGTACTGTGATATACAATACTGTTAATACTAGTTTCATGCATACATTCTTCCAACATCACACCCGTCACTAAGGTACCGACTTCCTTCCACCAACATTCCAAGGACCCCTCATATCCTCAGTTCTTTAGACCAATTCTCTAGTTCTGATGCTTTTGGCTGTTTTCTTCTGTGTTAATTGGTGGGAGGTGGCGGAGGTGGGTGCAGGGAGTACCCTGACATTGTGCTAGGCATCAGTCCTGGTAGGCTCAGGGGACGATATCAAGTGCTAGGGATCAAACCCAGATTGACTGTGTACAAGGTTAATGCCCTACAGGCTGTACCATATTGCTCCAATCCCTACTATGTTCATTTTAATGGCAATAACTAAGAAAAGGAAAATGCATGGTATAAGAACAATAGCTAGAGGATCTAAACTACTAAGAAGGGTGTAATAGCTATGTATATGTACAATTTAGATCTCCTGTTTAGGATTCATAGTGGGCTGGAGCGATAGCACAGCGGGTAGGGCGTTTGCCTTGCATGCGGCCGACCCAGTTTTGATTCCTCTGTTCCTTTTGGAGAGCCCAAGAGTGTCCCACCCACACAGCAGAGCCTGGCAAGCTCCCCATGGTGTATTTGACATGCCAAAAACAGTAACAACAAGTCAAACAATGGAGATATTACTGGTGCCTGCTCGAACAATAGATGAACAACCGGAGGACAGTGCTACAGTGCAGTGCTACAGGGTACATAGTTAATTGGTAGCTCCAACAGCTGCCTCTCAGAATTTACCATCAGTTTTATGGACCAAGCCTTTCATGGGGGTCAGGGATGTAGCTCAGTGGTAGAGCACCTGTCTTGTGTGGGTTAGAGTCTTGGTTGGATCCCCAGCACTACCAGGGAAGGGAGGAAATAGTTGCTTAGGCCGTTCATTTTCATCTGTTACCAGCCAATCACCTACTAGGCATACTCGCACCAGTCCATTCAAAGAATCTAACAGAAAATTATAACTTGGGAACTTCCCATTGGTCCAATCAAAATCTTCTTGGAACAATACTGTAGTCTCTTTTTTTTTTAAAATTCATTTCCTTCTCCCCTGTAAGATCTCTGCCTAACTCCATGTACAAAAGTAAGATCTAAGTGGATTAAAGACCTCAACATCAGACCGGAATCTATAAGGTACATTGAGGAAAAAGTTGGCAAAACCCTCCATGACATAGAAGCTAATGGTGTCTTCAAAGTTGTCACACCGCTGGCCAAGCAAGTGAAAACAGAGATAGACAAATGGGACTATCTTAAACTAAGAAGCTTCTGTACCTCAAAAGAAACAGTGACCAAAGACAGTCTACAGAATGGGAAAGGATATTCGCCAAAAACACATCTGATAAGGGGTTAATTTCAAGGATATACAAAGTACTGGTTGAACTCCACAAAAATAAAACATTCAACCTCATCAAAAAATGGGGAGATGAAATGAATAGAAACTTTCACAAAGAAGAAATCCGAGTGGCTAAAAGGCACATGAGAAAATGCTCCACATCATTAATCATCAGGGAGATGCAGATCAAAACCACAATGAGATATCACTTCACACCACAGAGACTGGCCCATATCCACAAGAACAAAAGCAACCGGTGCTGGCGTGGATGTGGTGAGAAAAGGAAACTCCTTCACTGTTGGTGGGAATGCCGACTGGTTCAGCCCTTTTGGAAAACAGTATGGACGATTCTCAAAAAATTAGAAATTGAGCTCCCATTTGATCCAGCAATACCACTCCTGGGAATATATCCCAGAGAGGCAAAAAAAGTATAGTCGAAGTGACATCTGCAATTGTCTGTTCATTGCAGCATTCTTTACAATAGCCAGAAACTGGAAAAAACCTGAGTGCCCGAGAACAGATGACTGGTTAAAGAAACTTTGGTACATTTACACAATGGAGTACTATGTAGCTGTTAGAAAAGACGAAGTCACAAAATTTACATACAAGTGGTACTACATGGAAAGTATCATGTTAAGCAAAATGACTCAGAAAGAAAGGGATAGACATAGAAAGATTGCATTCATCTGGGGAACATAAAATAACAAAATAGGAGATTAACACCCAAGAATGGTCGAGATTAGTACCAGGAATTTTACTCGATGGCTTGGAGGCCAACCACACATACTAGGGGAAAAGGGAGCTCAAATAAAGAAGGGAACACCAAATAAAGGTGGTGGGAGGATCCTCCCAGGATGGGAGAAGCATGCTGAAAGTAGTCTATAGACCAAGCATTATTGCCACTCAATGCCTCTTTTGCAAACCACAACAACCAATAAGAGAGAGAGAACAAAAGGGAATGCCCTGCCACAAAGGCAGTGGGGGATGAGGGTATGGGGGGGTCGGAGGGAT